TTTTTTTTTTTTTTTTGGTACCGGAGATCCAACTAGGTCCCTGCACTTGTGAGGCAGGTGGCAGAACCACTGAGCTAAATCCCCGGCCCATGCTCATTTCTTGTAAGCTTGCTACATGATTTGTTTCCCCATTGGATCTCCATTTAATCAATATTAGCCGGGTGACTGTACTCGTAATCTTATTGGTTGGTCATGGTTTTGTCCCACCTCATGCCCACTTTGTAAATTTCCACTGGGTCTTATAGTTTTGACCCACTTTATACCCGCCTCACCAAATGGCTTTGCTGTATAAAACATCTTTGGAAAGTGGGGTGAGCGGGCAACCCACTTTCTGATCCCCCTTCTGTCTCTCTTAGACAAAGCTTTCTTTCTGTCAATAAAATTTTCCTACTCTTAAAAAAAAGAAGTCTCAGGTGCAATTTGCAACTTAGTATGAGAAATAGTGCTGAACAGATCCTTTGAAAAAGCCTGGCAGTATTTACATATGTTAAACACTACTTTTCAGCATATTTTGCCTCGCCTCCACACTTCCCTGAATTAAAAACATTCTTTTCAGCAAGTCTTAACAAGATAGTAATAAGCTGGCAAGTTCAGTTGCAGCAGTAGATGATTCACAAACAAAACACTGACAGGCTTTTATGATTACAGTTTCCAAAGATCCTAGCCTCCTAAAAGTTGTTCATAGAGATTGATAGATACATAAAAATGAAAAATAAAAAATGGAAGGGAGAGATACAAATTGGCTTTTTCATTAGAAAAAATGATAGAAAAGTTTGACCCACACTTAGCACTCTGCCTTTTGCCAGCATTTTATTTCATTGTTTTTGACCTGAGATCATAATCTTTATAAGAAATAGTAAAGAGGACAAGAGGTAACTAAGATGATGGGTGGCTGGAAATGAAGATTTTTTTCAAGTATTTATTATCCTCCAGAAATGTCTGTCTGAAATACTACTTCTATGGGAAAGGAGAGAAGCAGGGTTGTTATTAATTTTTAAGGCTAGCTGACAGTTTTCAGCCCAAGAACAGGGCTTAATTTTGTGTTTTGAATAATGTAGAAATTTTCAATAGTTTGAGTAGGAATCAGAATGATAAATGATATATTGTCTATGAAAATACTGTCATATTACATTATATTTACAGTTACCCTGCAGACTAAGTTTTCTAGAAATATACTTACATGGACTGGAAAGTTACTAATATTGTTTTCTTGTTATGCATTTGGAATTTGGAAAAACAATTCAAAAGGAATTATCTTCCTGACTATGGATTGGTAATGCAATATCTAAAGGACCGTTTGTTACTTCACCTAAAAACTTAGTGTTGGCACAAATTGCACCAATCTATGAGATCATTGGAATTGGCTGTAGGCATTACTTTTTGGTCACATCTTCCTTCTGAAGACCCTGGGAAAATTTAATTACATCTGCACTTTGGATTCCTCTTTCTTTCAATAAACATGTAAAATTGAGAACTATCAGACTAAAAGGTTTGTGATTAGTTTTCACTATCCTCTCTCTTGCAGCAGATTATCATGTTAGGTTGGGCATATTTACTTTGTTTTGAGCACCTAAGGCTCTTTCTGACCCTAAGTATTATTTGAATTGATGGCAATGCAGCTATTATATCCAGATGTCTCTTGGTAACTTAATATATGGCCCTAATAACAAACACTAGAATTAAACCATTAATAGAATGGACTGCTAGCAGCTGCTTCAATTTCAGTTTGATGGGCCTTAAAATAGCTGATTCAGAGATTTCTGTAGAGTAACTTAAGTTAATTAAAGAAATCAAAGTCAATGGAACTACAATATCTGTTAGTAGCAATATAATCAATATCCACTGACATTATTATTTTAAAAGAAGGCTGATAGAAGGTCAAAAAACATTTACCTGGATTAGATGAGCCTTTTATTTCACACATCATTTTGTGATTCCCAGTTTTACTTAAAATCACAGATCTCAAAGAAAAATCTTTTCTGTTTTACCCTATTAGATAAAAGCAGACTAATGATTACTTTGCTGTTTCTCCAAAAATAAGGTAGGACTGAGTTACTGGCATCTTTTCAGAGACTCCAATCAATTTATTGAGGAGAAAAAGAACAAAGACTGTTCTTTGTGGGGGTGGGCTTTGGGAACACCTACTCAAAAGTACTCCACAAGAGATCCAACTGAGATTTACCAATGTATCAATTTTTGAAGTACCTACTTATCCCAAATCCCCAAAACTTCCTTTAAATCACAGTTTCAGTGAAAATAATTTGTGGCCAACCAATTATTTCTGGCCATGCAGCCTGTCTTAGCTGAGAATTGAAGCACGGTGCTGCTCACTTTCTGTACATTAACTTTGTCAGATTGTGGAACTAATGGAACTTCTGTAACTACAGTTTTAAAGTTAACATCAAAGTAAAATATATTGTCATTACAACTGTACTTAGGAAGTATCAGAAACTCTCTGGCTCATCTAGTATTTTTTTAATCCCCAAGTAAGCATGATACATATGATGCAATATGTTTGCATGTTTTCAACATTTAATACATTTAATCCCAAGGTCTAATATTTCTTACAATTGACAAATTAAAAAGATATCCCATTGTCAATTGGATCCCAGTTCATACATCATCTACTACATCTATTGATGGTGTGCAACATCAGAACCTTTTGGAATTATATTCTAGAAAGAAGTTATAATGGCTAGCTACTTATCCTCATTTTATTAAAGAATCCATTTTATAATTCTGACAATAATTGCAATGCCAATGCCAAATTTCCAGTTTGGTTAAGTATGATTTATCTAAAATAAATAACTTTTAAAAAACAAATTTAAATTTTCTTTGGTAACACATGAACCTGTAAGAGAGTTGTGTGAAGAAGGCTTTACATATTATCAAGCACTCAATCAATGAGCTATGTTGCCAAATCTTTACAATATAACTAGGTCATAATGTATGTCTTTTATTTGGTGCTAAAAAATGACAGTTTCTAAGCATTCTATCAATTCTTTTATAGTATCTCTTGTTTTTTTTATATCCTACCTTGAAGGTTGCAACTTTTGGTTTTATCATAGCATTTTATGTAGTTTTTATGTATATAGATTTTTCTATAATACATCATATTGATATTATTACTATAAGACATCAAAATTCTGCCACCAACATTATCATGGTTGGTGATGGATAAAGCAACTCCTTACTATCTACTCAAAATACTGCTTAGCTCTCTGCTGACAAGCTACTAAGATATCATATAACACCAGTCTTTAGGCTTCTGAGTCTATGCATGCTCCCATACAACTCTTGAGTCTCAGTATTCAGTATCACTTGATTTGTGTGCAGTTTAGTTTGTCAACCTTTGACTATAACTTTACTATGCCTAGTTCAATTAGTTTGGGTTCTAAATATGAAAAAGTTCATAGTCCTGTAATGATTAGTTTTAAAAGCTGAGTCTCATCTAAAATGAACCCACAGGGAAATATAACAGTACTTACAGGTGTCTTCCTCTTCCATGGAAATACTGATCACATAACAGGCATACACAAAACCAATCAACTGCAAAGAAGAAAAGAATATGTACCATAAGAAGTTATCCCTAATGTACATAAATATAAAGAATAGGTGTTAGTAACGTCTATGAAATTATAATAGAAAAAAGTCTTATATTAAACAATAGCTGTAACTTAAAAGATTCTTTGCATTTCTATGTCACCTTAATAGCTTTCTGAAAAATACACAGCTGCACTTGGTAGGCTGATACAGGAGGATTGTGAGTTTGAGGTTAGCTTGGACTACACAGAAAGACTGCCTCATAAAACCATAAACAAACACAGGACTGAGGGAAAAAAATTTCTATATGTTTCTCTTAGATTTTGATATAGAATTTATAAATTAGTATAGATTATTCATAGCATATATTTTTACTACTTACAGAGCAATCTGTACTCTTTATTATTACCACAACTATTTTAATGCTTAGAAACTAAAAGAGGGATCAAAATTTGCTGCCTATAAATTAAATAACAACCATGTTCCTGATTATTTAAAATGTTCTAAGATGTAAATTCTATCTAGCTACTAAATCATTTTGTTAATTTTATAATAAGAAAATGCAATAACTTTCTGGAGATTAGTTGTGGTAAAATGAAATAGACGACATCATTTATACTTTGTGTACTAGTGATTCAAAGAATAAATCCAAGCACAGAGTACAGCTTTTTATAGCTTCTCATATTGTTTTCTGCCCTTATTATACTCAGAAAATGATTTTTACTCCATTGAAATTCCTGGAGAACAAAATTGTTGACAAATCAATTAGTCTAAGATTATTTTAAGTTGCTTGATAGGTATGAAAAATGGCTACTTCAATAGCTGAAGAAGTTTATTTTCTCACCTTTCTTTTCATTGTTAGTTTGTTTCCTCCGCCTACCTTTATTACAAAATCATATTTACAAAGGAAACTTTTCCGGTAGTCCCAATGTCAAAGGTTGAAGTTCCATTGCCTCAGTTTGGGCCTGTTTCCATTTTTCAGAAGCAGGTTTAGCTGACAAGCTGGCTTGGTCTCCTTTTCCTGTACTTTCCTTCCTCTGAGCTGAAATGCCTTCTGAGCATCTTGGCGACATGGAGAGCACATATAGATGCTACCAGAATCTTCCAGGATCTTCCTGAAGCTGCACTGTCCCACCCCTGCATCCTTGCTGAGAACCAGAGCATAAGACCACTAATACCCTTTCTAATGTATTTCCTATCTTCTTTCACATAGCTGCTACATATCACGATTCCGCTCTTACAACACACATTAATACTCTTCATAGGCATAATTATTAATGACTACATACATTTGCTTTATTTGAACAGATGTAATATATTTAAGCAATTTTCTATTATTGAAAGTCACTTTAAATTATAAATATTATGATGAATATTAAGACTTTTTCTGTATTTTGATTATCTTATCCCTAGGATTAGAACTACAGTAAAAATGCCTTCAAATACTTATGTGACTTACTTTTACAGATTATTGAATTGATTTCAAAAAGTTTGTGTGATTTCTATGTGATAAGAACGTTCCAAATCTTTTCTAGCTATTCTGAAATATTTAATGCAATAAATATGTACAATTATATGTCAAAAGCGACAGAACAAAAGCTTATAACACCTCTTATCTTACCAGAGCATTAACTAATAATGCTTGCTTTGCCATATCCTTATTAGCAGAAGCTTATAAACTATGTCAATAAAAATGAACACATTGACATTTCTAACATATTTTGCAGTAGTTATACTACTTCTGAAACATATTCATATTTTATTAGCGCTTTATGTTTGGTGAACTATTGGCAGACATTCTTTGCTATTTATTAATTTTATATTGTTTTTATTTACTTGAATGGGTCTTACAGAGTAAAGCGTTTGATGTATTTACTGAAATTTTTTTCTTTATGTCAACAAATGTTAGTGATCCCATCACAACACTGAGATCTCTTCTTACTAATCATATGTCAGAAGATATCTATCAATCATTTCCTTTTTTTTTGTATTAAATTCTTTTATTGGTACATTGTAGGTATAAAACACAATTACATTTCTCACTGGGAATTGTACCTTTACATAATGCATCTGGGTTCTTATTTTTTCCCCATTCCTAGCCCTCCCTTCACACCCTCCACACTTCCCGATTTACAAAGACTTTATTTCCATTTTTTCCATTTCTCATCATTTTTTTCCTTTCCCTTCTTTCCTTTCCCCTGTGCCTCCCACTACCCCTACCCC